AATAAAAGTTTAGCGCGATGCAAGAATGGGCACGACTCCATTCTCACAAAGTTAGTCTAGGATCCCATCTAACTTTCATTATAAAATAAAAATGTAAATACCAAGAGAAAAGAGGACATGTTGATCAAACAAGCCTCGAAAAGCCACGGGCTACCACCGTGTACCCCAACCCATAATTGTCAATACTCTAGAAGTGCACGCTTTCCAGAGTTTTATTGCTCATCCATGTTTCACTTTACGTGATTACAATTTTAATTAATAGCCGACTCATTCAAGAAGACCATACATAACAATCATACATCAATTCACTTTTAATCTTATTTAGGACAATGGTGATCACATCACAAGTTGACCTTTAATTCCATTAAACTTCCAAATTATTCAAAATTGTTGAACATAGTCAACTCACCTAGCCATTTCAGCTTAATCCACTTTTACTCAACATACTAACAAGTCATGCTCGAGTAATAAAATAAATAACAACCTTGTGGAATAATTAATAAATTCATTCCACTTAAACCATTCAATTTCAATCCTTTAATAATCCAAATGTGGTTAACAAACCGATCCAATAAAAATATGCTTGTATCAACATTCCATACAAACAATTAATCCAATATAATTCAACATGTTTGCATCCATAATTCCATACAAACTTAATCAATTCACCAAAACATGTCTCATAAACATAATAAGCACATGAATTAATTAAATGTATAACCAAACAATTTTCATCCAAGTGTTCTCTAATCATGAAACTAAGTTCTTTTCTTTGGTACCTAAACATGATACTACTTACAACGAAATAGACATGTACGTACCTCGTATAAACAATCCTTTGTGACACTTTTAATCACTTAAAAAGTCTCCTAAGAAATAATCACTTCCTAGAAAACAAGCAACAATAATAAATTAATACTTAACCAAATTTCCAGCAATATAATTTAGATTAAAACTCCTTAATAATTCATTAAAAACATGTTTTTATGGTTAATTATGCATTAGAAATACAATAGGAACAAAAGCCCCAATTTAATTAGTCATAAGGACCCTAAAATCCCAATTTAAATAAATTGAAACCCTAGGTTTTAAAATTATAAAATCTGAAAATTATAACAACAATTATAATCTGAAATTATTAGTTTAAAACATAAAAACATGATTTTGATACTAAAAATATAAACTTTATACTATAAAATCAAACCCAAAACTAATTAATCAAACATTAAGCATAAAAAAAAACTTCGTTAAAAATCAAAAACTACCCGAAATTCATATTTAGAGGCTGAATTTGGCCACAAGAGGGTGGTGCTTCTTTCTTAAAACATTGTTTCCACATGGAAAACACTACTTTTTTGTCAAAATCGGATGAGTTCAGAACCTGATCGGGATTAAAACGGGATTAATATTAACGAACCAAAATCTAAACATTAAAACACGAATTTACGTGTTCAAAATAATCTGGAATTAAATTAAACTAATTAGTAGTATAATCACCAAAATTTCAAAACATCATTACTATAAAAACCCTAAATCGATTGTTCATAAAAACCCTAAAATCATGATTTTCAATGATTAAAAACCCTAGGTTATTAAATTTACAAAATCTGAAAATTATAACATTTATAAAATCTGAAATTATAAAGTTTAATCATCAAAATACAATTTGATACTAATTAAATTAATTTCAAACAATAAAATCAAAACCCATAATCAATAATTATAATTACACAAATTAATAAAACAAAGGAGAAAGAAAATAAGACTAACCTTTGTGTGGGGAAATTTTTGGGGATGTATGGGGTATTTATAGGAGAGAGGGTAGTAGGGTAAGTAGGGATATTGGGCCTCATTAAATTAATGGGTCAATTAAGAAAGTAAACTGGGTTTGGTTTGTTTGTTGGACATAAATTATAGAAGGAAGGTTCATAAAAAGTTCTTTGTAATAAAATCGTTTATCAACCCCAAAAATAATTTGAAACTTTTGAAATTAAATTCCGGAAAAATACAAGTAAATATTATAAATAATATATAATTTCATTTATAATATATTTTAAAATATGGGGGATTACAACAACATATGATGGTCATTAATGGTTCCAAGCGGAATTATTATATGAACCTGAGATGTATCCTCTAGGACCTCAAGTCTTTTCGTCATCGGGTCCCGTAACCTACAAAATTCCTCAAATAGCATGTATTATAACCTTTGATTTCGGACTTTTTTGACCTATTTTCGCCCGGAAATTAAAGTTTCTAAAATGTTTACCATGGTCCCTAGTACCCTCCAAGAGTCTAATTACGTGGGTAGAACCATCCAATTTGCCTTAAAACTGTCAATTTACTAGTTCACAACTTGCACCGATTTTGTGTACTCAAACCTACCACGGACATTTATGAAACCATATAATGGTCATATATTGTTCCAAACGACATTATATGACACTGAGATGTATCCTTTAGGGCCTCATATCTTTTCGCCACCAGGCCCCGTTACCTTCGAAATTCCTCAAAAAGCGTGAATAATAGCTTGCAATTTCGGAATTTTTTTAACCTTTTTTCGCCCTCAAATAAAAATTGCCGAGGTGTTAACTATGGTCTCTAATACCCTCAGGATGTCCAATTAGGTGGGTAGACACATCCATTTTTCCTTAAAACAGTCAATTTACCAATTCCTAGCTTGCAGTTATTTTTAAATCCTACCACGGACATTTATGACAACATATAATGGTCATATATGGTTCCAAACGACATTATAAGACCCTGAGATGTATCCCCTAGGACCTCAAGTCTTTTCGCCACCGGGCCCTGTAACCTCCGAAATTCCTCAAAAAGCGTGGATAATAACCTTAAAATTTGGATTTTTTTTAACCTTTTTACGCCCGAAAATTAAAGTTTTTGAGATGTTTACCATGATCCCGAATACCCCCCGAGAGTCCAATTAGGTGGGTAGAACCATCCAATTTGCCTAAAAACGGCCAATTTACCAGTTCACAACTTACACCGATTTCGTGAACTCAAGCCAACCACGGACGTTTATGACAACATATAATGATCATATATGGTTCCAAACGGCATTATATGACCCTGAGATGTATCCCCTAAGGACTCAACTCTTTTCGCCACCGGGCCCTATAACCTCCGAAATTTCTCAAATAGCGTGGATAATAGCCTTCAATTTTGATTTTTTTTACCTTTATTAGACCGGAAATAAAAATTTTCGAGATGTTTAACATGGTCTCTAATACCCTCTGGGGTCCAATTAGGTGGGTGGAACCTTCCAATTTTCCTTAAAACGGTCAATTTACCCGTTCACAACTTGCAGTCATTTCGTGTACTCAAGCCTACTAAGGACATTTATGACAACATATAATGGTCATATATGGTTCCAAACAACATTATATATGACCATGAGATGTATCCCCTAAGGCCTCAAGTCTTTTCTCCATCGGGCCTCGTAACCTTCGAAATTACTCAAAAAGCGTGGATAATAGCCTTCAATTTTTTGACCTTTTTTCGTCTGGAAATAAAATATGCCGAGATGTTTACCATTGTACCTAATACTCTCCGGGAGTCCAATTAGGCGGGTGGAACCATCCAATTTGCCTTTAAACGGTCAATTTACCAGTTCACAATTTGCACCGATTTCGTGAACACAAGCCTACCAAACGGAAATTTATGACAATATATAGTGGTCATATATGGTTCCAAATGGCATTATATAACCCTGAGATGTATCCCTTAAGGACTGAAGTCTTTTCGCCACCGGGTCCCCGTAACCTCCAAAATTTCTCAAAAAGCGCGGAAAATACCTACGTTTTTTAATTTTTTTGACTTTTTTTCAATTGAAAATAAAAAATTTCGAGATGTTTACCATGGTCTCTAATACCCTCTGGGGGTCCAATTGGGTGGTTGAAACCATCCAATTTTCCTTAAAACGGTCAATTTACCCGTTCACAACTTGCACCAATTTCGTGAACTCAAGCCTACCACAAACATTTATGACAACATATAATAGTCATAAATGGTTCCAAACGGCATTATATGACCCTGAGTTGTATCCCCTAGGGCCTCAAGACTTTTTACCACCGGGCCCCATAACCTCCGAAATTCTGCAAAAAACGTGGATTATAACCTTTAATTTCGGAACTTCTTTTTTTCGCCCGGGAATAAAAATTGTCGAGATGTTTACCATGGTCTCTAATATCCTCCAGGAGTCCAATTAGGTGGGTGGAACCATCCAATTTCCTTAAAACAGTCAATTTATCCGTTCACAACTTGCACCGATTTCGTGAACTCAAGCCTACCACGGACATTTATGACAACATATCATAGTCATATATGGTTCCAAACGGCATTATATGACCCTGTGATGTATTCCCTAGGGCCTCAATTCTTTTCGCCATCGGACCCGTGATCTTTGAAATTTCTCAAAAAGCATGGATAAATACAAGCCAATACTTATAAAGGATTGATAAAATGCATACCTAAGATTATGAAGCCCCCACAAAAAGAAGTAGAGGAGTTTCTCAAAGATTTTAGTGAACTGCAACACTTCTGAATTAACAGCATCTTAGATCAGGACAAAGTTATAGACTACTGTTGGTTGATTAGGACCTACAAGGTTGCAGTAAGTATTGTTGAGTACATTGAATACACAAGAGTTGTTGATGGTAAAATTAAATATGAGAGAGATTAAAGTATTGAGGGAGCCCCAGTTTATCTTCATGATGAACAAAAAACGTTTAGCTAGTGGCAATTTCGTAAAAAAATCAATATAAAATCCCAGTCATCATGGCGTTTCTGTAAATAAATTAACATTACTAGAGTCCACATTTGACAAAAGTTTTTGATTTATTTACAAAAATGTCACTAGATAAACGTTTTTTTGTTTATCATGAAGATGAACTTGTATATAGCATGAGAAGAAGATGAGAGAAAACTCAGAAAAGAGAGTAATATAATTTACTCTGCAAAGTGCCATAGCAATGTAAAATCACTAGACCTAAAAGAGGTACATTATGACATCGTGAGATAAATAATCTTTGCATATCATACAAGTTGTTACAATTGAACTATAGTTCCTTCACTTGTAAACCAAAAACAAAAACAAACAATCCTTGAGAACTTGCATTAATTACAGAAATTCTGAAATACATGATGGCTTGACCCCTTGTCATTTGGCATGAGGCATGATCTCTTAACTAGTGATACTTTGTACGAAAACAGAGAAAATTGATGAAGAATTTGGAGCATCACTTATGCAGCAAACTGGACAAGGTTACGCATAAGAAGCAACAATGACTTGGAATGGAAGGAGTCGGAAAGGCTAAGTGGCTAACCATTGTCAGATCGATGCATAATCAGGTTCATCTGGCTTTGGAGTTGGCAAGTAGAGGAGGGGTGAGGGTGAGCTCGAAGGAATACTGTTGAATTGGGGAGTTCTACGTCGCAGGTTACCAAGTGCATTGGCAGCAAACCTTGTAGCATAAATTGCAACACCGAAGCTTGGTGAGCTTCCACCCTTCTTGGGGAGAGCGTATTCTTCAGCCTCTGTTAAAGATCTCTCAAGCTTCCTTCTGTGGTATCGCCGCCATGCTGCCTGTATAAAACAGGCTGCCCATGTTCTCCACTGTGGTGAATAAAACCTGAATGCATCACAGCATACACACTTTTACCGGTGATTATTTAAGTTCTGACACAAACATCACAAAAGTGATGGTCATCTCAGAAATTATGACTACATTTAGTGAAAAATTTATAATAGTCAGTTTGAAATACGACTACCATTATATATTCTGGTCATGCATTATACTCATCTAAAAATATTATCTTAAAATCTTTATCCTCCAGCAATCATGTATTTATTGTATGACAACTTGGGAAAGAGATAGACTTGCCTAAAGGTGTGTTGGACCTGCTTGCTGTGAAGCTTACGAAATTGTGAAGCCACAAACTTGAGATCATCAGGCATAAATGCAAAGGCTTGAACTTCTGTCAGACTTTGTACAGTCCTAGTTGAAATGGGAAGACAGGAAAAGGAATATGGATCTAAGGCCCATGTGAGCAACTCTTCTCCACAGAAATCACCGGCTTTGAGGGAAACAGAATCAAAGAACTCAGTTCTTCCCCCATTTGTGCTCATAGACAATAGGCTTCCTCTCATAATAAAGAGCATCTCGTTAACTGGATCACCCTCGCGTAAAATGTAGCTGTTTTTAGTATATAGCACTGGTTTCAGATGATCACACACTGCATCTTTTAGTTTCTCGTCCAACTTTGCAAACATTGGAATCTACACAACACCAAAAAAAAAAAAAAAAAAAAACTCTCCGTAAATCATGATTGACTGTTTAAGGGGGAAAAACTTTATTAAAAAAAAAAAAAAAAGTTGTTTGGAATAAGGATAAATGGCAGATGTACTAACTTCCATAACAAGATCCAAGCCAAGATACCGCTTTATGTCCATTCTAAGGTCCCTAGGAAGGGAATCAATCACACTTTCTTCACTAACACCTCTAGTTTCTTGCCAAACGTACTCATGATGCCTTCTAATTCTCTCTTTTAAATCCCCTGGCAACAAACGGCGAGACATCCATTGCTCTACAGCTAGCTTTTTCCGTCTTCTGTCCTCTTCCAAGCCACCAATTGAAAGCATCATTTGCAGATATTTCTATTTAACAGGATGCATCCAACACTATTACTAATCCTTCATTATAATAAGGTTCAATCATGAAACTAACTAGAGAGGTAAAGACATTTTAGGTACATAGATAATTAAGTTGAAACACTCAGATGTCTAAAAATAATTGGGTGTTTCAGCATTTCAAAATTTTAGGTATTTTATGATTTTCGAAGTTAAAACACTAATTTAGAAAATCAACACAAGTAACCAAATAGTCATGTTGAGAAACTTGCCTGCATGTTCCCAAGCAGTAATGCAAAGAGACTTAGTCCAGCAACACAAATCAACGTAGCAAATAAGTTCTCCCCAAAATAAAAACTACTTGTGTTGAGATTTTGACCACAAGAGCTGCAATGCAAGAGAAGTTGATATAATATTAGATAAACATATACGAACTTACAAAGTATAGCCTTAGCATTTCAACTAACCTAAACTTGAGCTAATGAATCGATCGAACAAGCACAAAAAGTACCAGCAATCAATTTCAAATTATAACAGAAATTGGCAGATCAATGACTATAGTTATACCACAAACACGCGATGTTGCTACGTTGGCTATATGCCTCTAGGGCCAATGTGACATCAAGACTTGGGATCAAAAACAGCCATATTTCAGAATTAAAGCAGTTGCTCTTATAATAAGGAGACTCATGTTTTGTAGGAATCTCTTATATAAAGAATCTCTATCTTTTTTCCGATTCAAAAGAAATTGTGTCATGTCCCTATATTTGCAATATTTAAAGAACAGAGGAAGTATTACGTAAATGTAGTCAAAGTTAAAGTGTTAGAAACTCACTTAGACGAAATTCAATAATACCCAAAAACTACTGGATTGATTATGTACTTACCTAAGGCTCCGAAGGCCCCACCAGAAGCAGTAAGAGAGTTTCGGTAATATATGAGTAGAATTTACCACTTCTGATCGAAGAGCATCTAAGAATAAGCCATAGTTCTGGTCAGGATCCTCAAGGGAGCAGTACGGACTTTTACATCCATGTTTCATACAAGACTCGTGCCAGCATCTTACCCGCTGATCAATAGCAAACAGATACCAAGATGCTCCAACCACCTGCGGTTTCAAATTATATGGGTGGAATAAACTTGTTAAAAAAGCCTAGTTAGCCAACTATATTCCAATATTATCCAATTCTAACCCATATAAATCTTCTGTTAAGCAGCCTTGAACACTAGCAAGAGTAGCAATATGATCCATGATAAACGAGTTGGTGTGCATCATTATTGATTTTATGCTCATTTCCATTCCTTAATAAAATCTAGTTAAGTTCCAACTATATTAGAGATTAAATTGATTGAATGATCTAATAACTGATGTGAGCAAAATAAGTTCAAATATTTCAATATGAAGTTCCAAAATGGGTTATCCAATTAAGACACAACTGACAATATTTTCTAAAGAGTTATTGCAATAATTTCTCAAAAGCAGTGAAAAGAAGAGAACTAGAGTGAATACTTACATGGCTTGCTAGCATGTAGAGAAATAAATAAAATGCAGCTCCAGCCCATATGGTATCAGTAACCATGCCGGATGTCCTATGAAAATACTTGTACAAAGGATAAATCCGAATAGTCCTTGGAACATACTGGGTGAAAATCACCAATTCTAACAAGCTCTTCGTACCATCAGCCGGCTTTAGACTAGTTTGATAAACTACCAGCTGAAAGAAAGCAGGGCAAGAAGAAGGATTTACTTAAAATGCTAACCATACTGATCAATGATCCTAATGGACTATCACATTCATTCGTAACATTTGGTTCCATCAATCGCTTCCATCAACTCCACACAACCAAAAATTTAATAAGTTACCAAACATTAATGGGGCAAACAAAAGAGGAGAGTGTTTTTAGAAAGTTACCTGTGGAAGGGGTAGTATGGCTAATAAATCTATTATAAAGTACGACGAGAGATATCTTTTAGCTATAGCAGCATGGTCCTTGACTAATACAGTTTCCCCAAATGCTCGACGAGGTGGAGGGACAAATCCAATAAAGAACTGCAAGATGATATGAAGTAGATAGCACAAATCCATACATGTGCGAAAAATACTTGAAATTCTTTTAAGAATACAATCCAACTCGATGCTTTTTTTCTCTCCATCTATAAATGGGACATAGAAGAATAGTGGATCACAGCCCAAAGCCATAACACATGAGATTAAAATTATCTTATTCCATCTATGCACAAAAATATCCTTGGGATCCAGAACTTTCGCTGGTTGATGATATAGCAACCTGAAGCACAAAGATCCTCTGGATGAACCAGATGACGCTCTATTTTCTATCTCTGGTGACGACTCTGGTTCCCTGAAAGACAGTTTTTAACTCAGAATCGATCACAGCAATGTGTAAGCATATATGGACAATAGATACTAACAAATTAATCACATTACAGTCATATAATCATTCTTATCTAACCCTTTATAAAGCAGCCTGATATCAAACTACTATACAGCTTGAATTATTATTTTCTACCTATTTTACTAGTCATTTGATGGATTTATTGATTTATTCATCATATAAATATGAACACTCAGCTTGATACTTTGGGATTCACCTTCTGACTTTGTCTCTATTGTCGATCACAATTTCAGTAAGCTCCAAATTGCTCAACATTATGATGAAAAGCTTATCCTTGATAAAGATCACTATCTATATGCCTTGAGCTAGAGATGGCACGAGTGGCAAGCTCCAGCCAACATAAACATCTGATTTCAAATGAACAAATAGTTCAAAATTATGACTATATAGCTCATATGTTATGAACATTATATTCATAGGTTATGGAAAAACTATTATGTAGTTTAAATATTGTGGAAAGTCCATAGAGCTCAAAGATATTAACATACAATTAAGGTAATTGTTTTTATAATTCAAAAGTCGTTAACATTAAACTAAGGGTCTATTTGGTATTGTGGTGGCTTTTTGATTTTTAAAATCATATGTTGTATAAAATAAAAAATTTGTTAAATCGTGATTATTTTGAAAACTGATAACAAAATAGTGGAAATACATTTTTCTTGTATCCCGACTTTGGTTTTTTTTTTCAAAAAATTAAAAAATTAAAAACAAAAGGCGATATGTGTATACACTTTTTTCAATAATAAAGACACAGAAAGTAAAGTATATGTGTACCCACATGTGTAAACTTTCCTCCGCGGCTCCGCCACAGAACCACCCACACACCTACCAAAATAATCATATTAGGCAACAAAATCATTAAAAAAAAATAAATTACTTAATCCAAGATTAAGACAAGAAAGGGGAAAGAATAACATTAATTTGTACTCAATCCATTAAAAAAGTACAACATAACAAAATATTATAGCAAAACTAGCTAAAAGTAAGGGGCGTTTTAGGAAACTAAGCTTCCCGAAGAAAATAATTACAAATTTGGTTGCGTGGCAAAAGTATTTACAAAAATAAGCTTCTGGGGTAAACCGCTGCCTCGGGCAGCGTTTTACCCTCTATTTTTTTTTAAAAAAAAATTCTGCTACAAAAACGCTGCCCCAGGCAGCGTTTTTATAGTTTGACTTTTTTTTTTTCCTCGTTTATTTTTTTTTAAAATTAATTAAAAAAAAAAGGCAACAGCATAAAACGCTGCCCCAGGCAGCGTCTTATCTTGTTAATGAAACGCTGCCCCAGGCAGCGTTTCTCGAGCTTCGTTTTCAATCACGTTTGCTCTTCATTCCTTCGCCTCCTTCGCAATCCTCTTCCTTCCCTTCCCAAATTTCCTCTTCAATCCTCTTCAACCCAATTTCGTATTACATCCAATTCAAGATATGGTTAAATATTAGTTGAGTATTTACAAATTGTTCGTTATGTTTGTTGAATTCTTGAATTGTTGGTTAGTGTTGTTGAATTATTGAATTGTTGGATATTGTTGTTGAATTGTTGGTTAGTGTTGTTGAATTCATGAATTGTTGGTTAGTGTTGTTGAATTGTTGGTTAGTGTTGTTGAATTATTGGTTATTGTTGAATTTCTTGAATTGTTGAATTTCTAGGGTTTATGTTGAATTTTGGGGGTTTTTGTTGAATTTAGGGGTTTAGGGTTGAGTTGATGAATTGTGATTGTTAAATATTAATTTGGATAATGTAGAATTGTTGGTGTTGAAATATTGAAGATGTTAAGTATTTGAATTTATAGAATTATTGCTTGTTAATGGTGACCTAGTGATGCTTAGTTGTTCCAAAGTGGTTAGTTGGATGTGATTTAGAGATGGATTAGTGTGTTTTAGTGTAATGTGTTTTGGTTGTTGTGTAGAATATGGCCGCACAGAATGTAGTTTTGTTGTGCCGGTGGGGAGGTGAATTTTTGTTTGACGGACCTCGTGTCGAGTATAATGGTGGAAATATGGAACCACTGACACTTGAACCGAACATGAACTTCAGTGATTTCATGAACGAGGTTCATAGTAGCGTTAGTTCAAACCCGGGGAGTGTTGAACTAAACATTAAAATGAGGTTTGAGACCGAGAATGGGGTTCAAGTGTTACCTGTGTCCTCGAATAAGCATTTGAAAGCTTTAAGGAGCGTTGTAGCGTTGAAGGGTGTTCCCACCGAGATTTATGTGGAGATGGTGCCTATTTGTACCCAACAAAGTACCAGGGCAGAACCACATTCTACATTTATTTCCGGTAACAACACACAGCCGCAAGTGCCCTCACACGACACTCCCCCGGCTGAATATGGGATGGGATCTTTTAGTCGAATGTTGAACGACGATCAATTTCACATGCCGTTCAGCTCTCACATAGCTTCACCTGTACATGGGGCGACGTATACAGCAATGGCCGGGCAACCTGGGTCTTCGACATCAAACATCGTCACTTCTTCACGGATGCACCTGCATAGGAATACACCTGTGCAAAATGATGTTCGAGCTTCGCCGACTGAACTAGTTGCGGTTCATCTTGACACAGTTGTGAATAACGAATTGTCTGTGTATGATGTGTACACAAATGATGAGGCCGAGAGCGGAGAGGAGGCAGACGTACTTCGGAACATGGATGTTGAACTCGGAGACATGGAAGTTGGTGAGCCCTTGGTCAGAACTCCACGTCGTATTAAATTAGTGTAATAGTTTAATAGATGAATAGTAAACACTTACGTTTTAATTCGTGTAACAGTTCTGGTCTTGGGAGCATCTCCACGTCGGGCGGCCAGGTAGGCCAGTCAGGCATCGACCGGGGGAGCTGGATCAAGACGAGCAGTACCAGGCGTACGACGCTCCCCCTCTTCCTACACCTGACGGAAGGTGGTGGACGGCGGTGGAGGAAGGTGGTGGAAGGCGGTGGAAGCCGGTGGAAGGCGGTGGTGGAAGGTGATGGTTGGAGGTGGTGGTGGAAGGTGGTGGTTGGAGGTGGTGGAAGGCGGTGGTGGTGGAAGGTGGAAGGTGGTGGAGGTGATGGTTGGAGGTGGTGGAGGGCGGTGGTGGAAAGGGGTTGGAGGTGGTGGAAGGCGGTGGTGGTGGTGGAAGGCGGTGGTGGTGGAGGGCGGTAGTGGAAAGGGGTTGGAGGTGGTGGAAGGAGGTTGGGGGTGGTGTTGGAAGGATGTTGAGGGTTGGGGCAAGAAACTGGTTTGGTGCTGCCAACCAGGTAAAACGCTGTCTGGGGCAGCGTTTTACCTGTAAACATATACAGATAAAACGCTGCCCCAGGCAGCGTCTTATGTTCAAGCATAAGACGTTGCCTGGGGCAGCGTTTTATGCTGTTGCCTTTTTTTTAATTAATTTTAAAAAAAAATAAACGAGGAAAAAAAAAAGTCAAACTATAAAAACGCTGCCTGGGGCAGCGTTTTTGTAGCAGAATTTTTTTTTAAAAAAATAGAGGGTAAAACGCTGCCCGAGGCAGCGGTTTACCCCAGAAGCTTATTTTTGTAAATACTTTTGCCACGCAACCAAATTTGTAATTATTTTCTTCGGAAAGCTTAGTTTCCTAAAACGCCCACAGAACCACCCACACACCTACCAAAATAATCATATTAGGCAACAAAATCATTAAAAAAAATAAATTACTTAATCCAAGATTAAGACAAGAAAGGGGAAAGAATAACATTAATTTGTACTCAATCCATTAAAAAAGTACAACATAACAAAATATTATAGCAAAACTAGCTAAAAGTAAAGAACATAATCCCATGATTATTATATAATGCCTAACATTAAGTCATTAACCCACTATTCTTAAACTAATTACTTTGGAGTAAACTAACCACTAACAATTTTAAGAAAATGTTCCAACAAAATTCCCTAAATCTAGCTTATCATACAGTACTTTTTGGGATCAATTATGCTTACTAAAACAAAATAATACTTAAAATAACAATAATCTCATTTTGATCTTCATCATGCATGCATGTATGATTGTATATGAATCACAATTTTATGAACAACGCCCGAGTCAACAACAAATTTCCAATCCAAATCACAACCAGCAGAAGATTAATTAGATAAAAATTAAAAAAAAATCACCTACAAATTAAAAATTAAGGGGTCTAATGTGATGAATTAGGTCAATCTAGGGACTATAATAAATTAAACAAGTAAGAGTATAATAAAGAATTAAAGAGTGATATAAAATTATTTAGGGAAGAATAATATTTTACAATAAATAAATAAAAATTAAAAAAAAATGAACATAATAGTTGCAGAAGTTATTTCTGCAAGAATATAGCTTACAAAAGGTACAATGACGCTTCAGTGCAGAAATTGTGGAAGATTTTGCATCAAACTCGTCGTTTTGCAACTTGCAAGATTACTACTTAGTTTAATTTTTAAAGATATTGTTAGAAAAAACAGTAATTGAAGTCAAATTTTTGAAAACCAAATGAAGGATGAACTCCAAATACTGTATTACCTTATAATAATAAAACAGGGTTGACTCTGCAAAGACTGCAATTAATTGTTTAATGGTTAGAAAAATAGAGACCAATTTCAAGCTTGGAATTTTTTCACTTTTTAATGAGTGGATGAGTGTTGATATTGTTCCAAATAATTGAGGAAAAGTACTTTCGTGTTTCCAACAAAAGCTTTTGCTTTAAAATAAAAAAGAAAAGCACAAAGTTTCATACTCTGTGATCGGGTTACTTGGTTAGGGGTTATTCGTTCAGTCAGGCGTCACTCGATCTGGTTACTTGGTTGGTTAGGAGTTACTCGATCAGTGTTTATACGGTCAGTCAGGGATTACTCGGTCGGTAAGTGTTTTGGTGTATGTCAACCACACATTAAATTGAGGTAGTCGACAATGCACATATTGAGTTACTGATGTAGAAATTAATAATGCATACCGTACGAGTTATTTACAATTTAACTAGAATGCGTCGTAGTAAATTTACTTTAAAAAAAATCTTATAACCAATCGTAATTACAAAGACTGAAAGACGGATTGACCCCTTGTTGGTGGTATGAGACATGATCTCATGACACTTTGTACAGTACTAAAGTAACAATAATTGCACACATACTGAAATGAAAAATAACAATGATATTGGAGCATCACTTATACTGCAAACTGGAAATTTTCTAATCCTAACAATTTACAAATTATACATGTTGTATATGTTGATTGTTTATGATCTAAACATCAAGGTTAAGAGTAGGAAGAAACAATAACTTGGAAGGGAAGGGCTCTGAAAGTCTAAGTGGCTAACCATCGTCAGATCGACGTGAAATCAGGTTCAGTTGGCTTTGGCAAGCTGAGCAGGGGTGACCTTGGAGGAATTCTGCTGTTTCTGGGAGCATTACGTCTCAAGTTACGAAGTGCATTGGCAGCAAACCTTGATGCATATATTGTGACGCCGAAGCTTGGTGAGCTTCCACCCTCCTTTGCAAGGGCATATTCTTCAGCCTCTTGTAATGATTTCTCAAGCTTCCTTCTGTAGTATCGCCGCCATGCTGCCTGTATGAAGCAGGCTGCCCATGTCTTCCACTGTAGTGAATAAAACCTGAATGCATCACAAAAGACACAATTCACAGATGATTACATACGTTTTTGGCACAACATCAAAAATGATAATCATCTCAGAATTTAAGACTATATTTAGACAGAAAGTACTATTGTTTGGTACTGTATGTCATTGAAAGTAGACATAAATATCATATGTAGACATGTAGTGTTAATGACCTTAATGTTAAAAATGTAATAAAAATGTATGTTATTTGCTAATTCTCATAAGTTATACTTCTTCCATTAGTTCTAGTGATATTGCAATAAGATCCAATCACGCATCTCAAAGCAAATTTTATGCTTATGATAAATATTTATAATTAGTTAATTAATTGTATAAGAGTAAAATTTATAAAAAGTTGATATTATGAATTGAAAGCACAATACGGGACGAATGTGTAACACTTCCTTAAATCATTCTTATTGGAGAAACATTTATATTAACATAAGGTCCATAACCTGCAGCCTGCAGGGATATTAGTTTAGTATATGCAATCCTTGTAAATTGGCAATCAAAATTTCCTTATTAACCAAAATAAAGATAACAGCAAATATAAAAGAGTAAGAAAAGCATAACAAAGCCTAGAATTAGCTCAAAAATCTTCTTGGGATAACTGTAGAAGTTAAGGCCATTGCCTATGATCAGCTCTAGCTAAAAATGCCTACCCATCAAATCCCGGGTTCGATTAATTCAGTCCAAACTCCAACAGTCAGGCCATTTATTTGTTACTACAACAGTCAACAGCATTTTGATATCTTAGATCATCAACTATCTATAAAGGGGATTCTGTATGTCTGATCTATGCTGTACATAAGAATAAACAATTATGTAGGATCATTAGAATTATAGTTTGCTTTGTTCCGAGTTCATCTGTCTATTTCAGATAATGGTTTATGGAAACAGCTTCAGTCTTTCCTCGTTGCTGTTATCAACACCAATAGGAAGGCTCTGGAATCTTGGGCTGAAGAACAAGGTATTGCAGGTGATTTTAGTTCACTATGTCAGAATCCTGGAGCAAAGGCCTACTTCATTGAGAAACTCAACCAGATTGCCAAAGAGAACAAGGTACTTTGCTCTCTGTAATTTTGGTAGTTTTTGCACAGCACTATTCACAAGATAATATTGAGCTACCCAAAAAGCTAATGCCAAAGAGACACCAAGGCCTATATATCCTTGTGAAAGTAGACATTAGAGCTTAGAGTAGTGTTCAAAGGTTAAAAATCCAAATTACAGTAGGTCCTGAGTTCAAATGCACTATTCTGTTTTCATCAATTCCTCCTGTATTGACATTGTCCAATACATTTTCTTCCTTGTAGTTGAAAGGTCATGTGTTAATCAAAGCAGTACATCTTGACCCTGTGGCCTGTGCCATTTGAGATGGAACGTGATCTCTTGACCCCAGCTTTCAAGAAGAAAAGGCCTCAATTCCTCAAGTATTATAAGGTTGGTACATCTTAATACATGTGGATCTTGTGTTTTCAAGGCATAACATTAAATTGGTCCCTAATGATTTGTTCTTACAAGATGTTGTTGACACATTATACGAAGAAAGGAACCATATATGACCACTATTTGGTCACATAAAGGCTCGTTAACTCGTTGCAGCCTTGAGTTAATGAAAGGAGGTGTATATATAACCAGCTAAATCAATCGTTCAAGGGAAAAGTAGATGGTTCCAAGACTTCCAACTACCCAAATGGCCCCCCGGGGTCTCAAAAGAACCGATGGAACCACCTTAACCACTACCTCTTCTGGGTCCGGAAAAGTAAAAAAAAAAAACTTCAAAAATGAAGGCTATAATCCACGTTTTTGGACCAATTTTAGGAAATTTGTCCAAAATTGAAGTGAATGTGAAAGGTGTTCCTAGGGGTCATAAAATTTGGGTTGGAACCATATCAGGCCTATCAATACGTATATAAAGCCCCGACAATGAGTTTAGATCAATTATATAGCTATTTCAAAATTTTGTTGTACCTGTAGTCAAGGGATACAACTCATACAAGAGATGATTTCAATCACCAACTTGGCATCACAAGGCTGAGCTTTGAAGCACTTTACCTAAAATAATCAAAGTTCAGAAATTTCGTGTTTTATTCTTTAGGATACAATGATATAGATTGAGTGGCAGAAGTATCAGAGCCCATTTTTGTCAACTTTGACAGTAAGGATAAGGACTTAACTGTTAAATAAATAAATTAATTAATTAATTAATTAAAAAAAAAAAAAAGACAAGCCAATACTTATGAAGGATTTGATGAAATGCATACCTAATTATGAAGGCCACACCAAAAGAAGTAGAGGAGTTTCTCAAAAAATTTAGTGGACTGCAACACTTCTGAATTAAGAGCATCATAGAACAGGCCAAAGTATTGTTGAGTACTAGTTCCCTTCTCGTTTATTCTTGCAATATCAAGACAGATGAAGGCATCCTTCTCCATGCATAACTCGTGCCAACAGGAGCCTTGTCTATCAATAGCATATGTATACCAAACTGCTACACACACCTGCAATTTGACTCAAAATTCATAAATCTGTATGTTCAAATTCATGAGTGGGAAGAAGATGTATGTAAGCATGTTGTAGAAAGCCTGTTCTTACTGATGGTAGTGATCATATTAAGAAAATTCAGTGCACATTAAAGATCAAGTTAAGCTTACATGGCTGGCTAGCATGTAGAGAAACAAATTGAAAGCAGCCCTAGCCCATGCTGTTTCAGTAATAGTTTCTGATGTCTTTGTTACTTCCTTGTATAAAGGATAATACGAATAAGCCTTGGGATATACTGGGTGAAAATAATAAATTTCAACATTTCCTTTTGAGATCAAAGGACCTCCACCTATCAATCTTGGAATGAAAGCTAGAACTGCCATCTGCAAAAATTCAGGACACATAACAAAATGGCATGGAAACCGAAAATTGTAGCAACATACTAGATTGACTCCAAATACCTGAGGAAATGTCAGAACAGAAAGAATGTCAATTATGAAGTAGGAAGAGAGATATCTTCTTGCAATAGAAGCATGGTCCTTAAATAATTTACATCTTCCCAGCTCTCGTGAAGATGGTTGCATTACTTTTACAAATATATATGTAAATTGTCATTCATTAGTTGATGTTGTGACAGATTCAAATGAGGTATTGACAATGGATATATGGAGTTACTGATGGGGAAATTAATCATGCACATAATAGTATAATACAAGTTTTTAACAATAACTATAGTATTTGGTATGGTATATAATTACACATATACTGAAAGACAGATTGACCCCTTGCATTGTCAGATCATATGGCATGAGACCTGATCTCGGATACTTAGTACTGAAACAAACAATGGTAAATGGTTACACAAATACTGAAATTAAAATTGACAAGTATCACTTATGCTGCAAACTGGACATTATCTGATCCTAACGGTTCACAAATTATAAATGATGAAGATGTTGATTGGAGATTATCTAAACATCAAGGTTAAGACTCCTTAAGAGTAGGAAGAAACATTAACTTGGAATGGAAGGGCTCCGAAAGTCAAAGTGGATAACCATTGTCAGAATGACGTGAAATCAGGTTCAGTTGGCTTTTGCAAGTTGAGGAGGGGTGACCTTGGTGGAATTCTGTTGTTTCGTGGAGCATTACGTCGGTTGCGAAGTGCATTGTCAGCAAACCTTGATGCATAAATTGTGACACCAAAGCTTGGTGAGCTTCCACCCTCCTTGGCAAGAGCGTATTCTTCAGCCTCTTATAAAGATTTCTCAAGCTTCCTTCTATAGTATCGCCGCCATGCTGGCTGTATGAAACAGGCCGCCCATGTCCTCCACTGTATTGAATAAAACCTGAATGCATCGCAATAGACACAATTTACAGGTGATTACATAAGTTTTTGGCACATCAAAAATGATAATCATCTAAGAAGTTAAGACTATTTAGACAGAACTTCAAATTTTGTTGCAAATCACCAATTCAAGGACTGAAGTTCAGCATTAAACAACAGAATATTCTCTGGTGATGCATTCATCTTAAAACATTTTCCTAAAACCTCAGCCTTCAGCAATGATATATTGTTTGACAACCTGGGAGAGAGAGACTTGCCTGAAGGTGTGTTGTAGCTGCTTACTGTGAAGACTACGAAATTCCGAAGCCACAAACTTCAGATCATCAGGCATTAGTGCAAAGGCTTCAACTTCTGTCTCAGTTTTTAAAGTCCTAGTTGAAATGGGAAGATTGGAAGAGGACCGCGGATCTAGGGCCCATGTGAGCAACTCTTCCCCACAGAAATCACCAGCTTTGAGGGAAACAGAATTAAAGAAACCAGTTCTTCCCCCATTTGTGCTCATAGACAATAGGCTACCTCTCATAGTAAAGAGCATCTCGTTAACTGGATCACCCTCTCGTACAATGTAGCTGTTTTTAGTATAAAGCACTGGTTTCAGGTGATCACACATTGCATCTTTTAGATTCTCGTCCAAATTTGCAATCTGTGGAACCTACACAACGCAAAAAACTCTACAGCGTAAATCATGATTGACTGTTTGAGGGGGAAAAACTTTGTTAAAACAAAAAACAAAAAAATTGTTCGTAATAAGGATTAATTGCAGATGTACTAACTCTTATTACAAGATCCAAGCCAAGATGCCGCTTTATGTCCATTCTAAGGTCCCTAGGAAGGGAAACAATTAAATTTTCTTCACTAACACCTCTAGTTTCTTGCCAAACGTACTCATGATGCCTTCTAATCCTCTCTTTTAAATCCCCTGGCAACAAACGACGAGACATCCATTGCTCTACAGCTTGCTTTTTCTCCTTTCTGTCCTTTCCCAAGCCACCAGTTGAAAGTATCATTTGCAGATATTTCTATTTAACAGACATCCAACACAATTATTGATTTGTGCATCCCCCAAAGAACTTAAAGGTCAAATTTAAAGAACATGAATAAAAATCAACAAACATGAAAGTTAAAACAAAATAGCATGACCCTAAAATAAATGAAAGTTAAAACAAAAGGAAAGAAACATTTGTTGCACATAATGTGGAGCAACCTTTTTTTAGTAAATGTAATATTTCAAACTCAATAACACTTCTAGTTTAGTTTCTATTCATATATTTATATATATGGGTCATATATCAGTACCAAAACTCCAAATAAAATTTGTATTAAATACTACTATCTAGTAAAGAATATATAGTTCAAATCCAAATAACATATAGTTTAATACTTTAAATTCAAAAAACATATAGTTTAATACTTTAAATCCAAAGAAAATCAATACGAGTAACCAAATAGCCATGTTGAGAAACTTGCCTGCATGTTCCCAATCAGGAATGCAAACAGACTCAGTCCAGCAACACAAATTAACACGGCAAATAAGTTCTCCCCAAAATAGTTACTACTTGTGTTAAGATCTTGACCACAAGAGCTGCAATGCAAGAGAAGTTGATATATTAAATAAACATATACAAACTTACAAAGTATAGCCTTAGCATTTCAAGTATCCTGTCTAACTAAATTCTAATAAATGCAACAATTTACTACCATGTCTAAATGTACAATTTTGATTATTAAGTCCTTAATTTACAGTAGACATTGAAAGCAAATCCACCACATTGTGACATAATTTTACTTTTATGTATTAAGTAAATGTAGTCAAAGTTAAAGTCTTAGAAACTCACTTAGAAAGACGAAATTCAATGATACCCCAAAAACCACTGGATTGATAAAGTACTTACCTAAGACTCCGAAGGCCCCACCAGAAGCAGTAGGAGAGTTTCGCTAATGTATGAGTAGACTGTACCACTTCTGATCGAAGAGCATCATAGAATAAGCCATAGTTAAAGAAAGTAGAACCGATGATTTGGTTAGGATCCTCAAGGGAGCAGTACGAACTGTTAAATGTGTAGTTGTCTCCGCTTTCATCTTTGCAAAATGAAAACATATGATAGCACCCTTGTCCCATACAAGACTTGCGCCAGCATATTCCCTGCCGATCAATGGCAAACAGATACCAAGATGCTCCAACCACCTGCGGTTTCAAATTCCAACATGGTCCATGATAACTTATTTAACACTAGTCAATAAGTTCTCAAAAGCAGTGAAAAATAAAAGAACTAGAGTGAATACTTACATGGCTAGCTACCATATAGAGAAATAAATAGAATGCAGCTCCAGCCCATATGGTATCACTGATCATGCCGGATGTCCTTTGAAAATACTTGTACAAAGGATAAATCCGAATAACCCTTGGAACATATTGGATGAAAATCACTAATTTTAACAGGCCCTCTGACGTCAAAGAACCACCATCCAGATTTGGAATGATAACATAAACTGCCAACTGAGAGAAAACAGGGAAGGAAGAGGGAATTACTTAAAATACTAAGACCAAGTTATCTCTAGTCTCTACCATGTTTTTTTTTCCTGTTTTTGAATGTCTTCAAAAGATTGCTCCTTATTAAAAGATGATCCTAAGTGACACATAGCAATGCAACTCCACAACCAAAAATTAAAAAAGTTACCAAACACCAAGGGACAGATCATTGTGAGTGTGTTTTAGAAAGTTACCTGCGGAAGGGGTAGTATGGCTAATAAATCTATTATAAAGTATGAAAATAGATATCTTTTAGCTATAGCAGCTTGGTCCTTGATTAATTCAATTCTCTCAACCACTCGAGAGGATGGAGAGACAAACCCAGTATAGAACTGCAAGATGATATGAAGTAGATAGCAAAAATCCATAAATGTGCGAAGAATACTTGAAATGATTTTGAGACTATCATCCAACTTGATGCATTTTTTCTTTCCTCTATAACTGGGATGTAGAAGAATAATGGATCACAGCCCAAAGCCAAAACACATGAGATGAGAATTATCTTATTCCATCTTTGCACAAAAATATCCTTGGGATCCAGAATTTTTGCTGGTTTAGGATAGAGCAACCCAAAGCACAAAGATCCTCTGGATGAGCCAAATAACACTTTACGAGTATTATTTATTTCTGGTGACAGCACCGGTTTCCTGAAAGACATAATTTTTAGTCAGAATCATAGCAATGTGCACGCATGTATGGACAATAATTGCTAACAGATAAGGTATATTGCGGCCATGTAGTTACTCTTACGAGTTTTATCTAACATTTATTAAAACAACCTGATATCAAACTATTATATATCTTGAATTATTATTTTCTACCTATTTTGCTAGTCATTTGATGAATTTATTTTGAGATTCACCTTTTTACTTTGTCTCCATTGTCGATCACAACAATTTCAGTAGGCTCCCAACTGCTTGACATGATGAGAAGTTTATCCTGGATAAGGATCACTATCTGTATGCCTTGAGCTGGAGATGGCGCAAGTGGCAAGCTC